TACTGATGTAATTGTTCCCCTTACCTTTCTCATAACTACCCCTTCCCTTTGCCTTATAATCAGAACACTATTTGGGTTTCTGCCTGAATCGGTGCTTCCCAAATAACTTCCTTTTTTTATCTCAAATAAATGCTTGTTACCTTTCACTTTGGCCTTTTATTTTTAGGTTAACACTAGTGACTATGATCATGGCGGTTACATTAATATTAGAAATTTTTTACTACAATTCCCAGGGTGGGATATAGGGAAAACTACATAGTCAAATAAATTTTAAAATTGAAGATTGAACTTAGTGTCCTTAGACTTCTATCACATATGCAATGGGCCTCCTGGGACTCTCAACTTGTGCACATCCCCAGAAATGACAGTTGATTTAGGTGGTGTCCTACCTAAACAGTGTTACAAACCCAATAGTCCAGCCACATACCAGTAAACCTCTCACCGTTTCTCTTAATGCTTCTCCCATCTAATGCCTCTATGTCTACTCCACCAGGCATGTTCTGTCCCACATCCGTTTTGGAAACATTTTTACCCTTCTTTTAAAGCCCTGCTCAAACCTCACTTCCTTTCAAATCCCATGCCAACTCCTGTATCACCTTCATTTATCCCTGTTATAATATGGCATCCCTGACCTCTTGCCCTTTTGAGATAGATAGCCTTGGCTCTGTCTCCAACAAGAAAGCAAGTCCTGGTGAACAATGATCAAGTTTCATAGATCTTTGTTCACAACCTTTCAGCATCTCACACAAAGACCTTCAGGAAACATTTGTTCAACAGAACTGAATTCAAGACGCACTCAGAGACACTGCTCTGCTGGTTTGACCCTGGTTTGCTACAGACTCAGTATGGTGCCCTTTCTTCACCTTTGCCTATCTTCTTTTGCTAGCTTGCCTTAAATATTAACTCTTTGCCCAGCTGGCGTGGTTCAGTGGTTTAGCGTCGACCTATGAACCAGGATGTCACAGTTCAATTCCCAGTCAGGGCACATACGCAGGTTACAGGCTCAATCCCCAGTAGGGGCATGCAGGAGGCAACCAATGAATGATTCTCTCTTATCATTGATGTTTCTATCCCTCCAGGGATAGAACTGGGAATGGAACCATGACCTCTTGGTTCATAGGTTGACGCTCAACCACTGAGCAATGCTGGCCGGGCATTAAAAAACATTTTAAATATTAACTCTTTAAAAAGAATTTTACCATTTTCCTTGCTATATCTGATTTTGGGGTGGTTTTTTAAAATATATTTTTATTGATTTCAGACAGGAAGGGAGAGGAAGAGAGAAATAGACACATCAGAGATGACAGAGAATCACTGCTCAGCTGCCTCCTGCACGCCCCTACTGGGGATTGAGCCCACAACCTGGGCACGTGCCCTTGACCGGAATCAAACTTGAGACCCTTCAGTCCACAGGTCGATGCTCTATCCACTGAGCGAAACCAGTTAGGGAAATTTTTTTAATTGAATGGTATAATTCACACAACATAAAATCCACCCTTTTAAGTATACAAGTCAGTGGTTTTTAGTACATTCACAAAGTTGTGCAACCATCATAACTAATTCCAGACAGAATGTTATCATCACCCCAAAGAGAAATCCCATACTCATCAGCATTCACTCCCTACTGCCACTCCACCTTTCCCCCAACCCCATAACCACAAATCTACTTTCTCTCTCTAGCACGTATGATTTAACAAAGCTTGGTTTTATTATCCCTTAGAACCAAATATTTTACCTTCAAAAAGAAAGTTTTTCTTATTTTATAGGAAAATTTTATTTTAACACAGCAACTAACTAAAGCATCATTTCAGGATACAAAACAAAAACTCTTACCAGGAAAATCATCTTACATGTTTACTTTCCCTTAATTTTTTGTTTTGTTAAGCTTTTTATTGAAGAACTATAATAAATATATAGAAAAGTACATATTAGGGTATACTTTGATAAATTTTCAAAAACTGAATACACAAGTATAACCAGCACCCAGATCAAGGCAGAACCGAAGCCCCATGCCCCTCTTCCAGGCACTTTCACCTCCAAAGAGTAACCATTACCTCGACTTCTAACAGCATACATTACTTTTGCCTGTTTTTGTACTTTCACAAGTAGAAGTATTTAATATGCAGTATAGAAAACTTTTACAATGAAATTTATACCTTGGAGTACTCACCATAATCTTCTTGTACAAAATCATAACATTATCATCATCAAATGGTAGAAAGCCACACATAAGTACATATAAGAGTATGCCCATGCTCCAAACATCTGCCTGAGAGGGAGAAAATAATAAATAATTCCAAAAAGAAAATTTAGAACATATTTGAAAATGGCAGTACACGTAATAGAATTACAGAATCCTCACAGATCATCCAATTAAACCTGCTTGTTCTACAGACAGGGGACCTAAAGCCCAGAAAGGAATACTCATCCAAAGTCACCTAGGCCACCTGACATCCAATTCAGTGCACTCTCCTTTAATACTGGATTCTAATGCTTTATAGAAAACTAGAGGCCCGGTGCATGAAATTTGTGCGTGGGTGGGGAGGGGTCCCTCAGCCCAGCCTGCACCCTCTCACAATCCGGGACCGCTGGCTCCTAACCGCTTGCTTGCCTGCCTGCCTGCCTGCCTGCCTCATGATCCCTAACCCCTCTGCCTGCCTGCCTGATTACCCCTAACCGCCTTTGCCTTGGCCCCCACCACCATGGCTTTGTCCAGAAGGTCGTTCGGCTGTCCAATAATTAGCATATTATGCTTTTATTATTATAGATAATTTCCAATTGACTGGGCTGGATTAGGCACAATAAGGAAAAGGAGGAGGAATCTGCAGGTCTCTGGTTCTGAAAGATAATTCTACAATCCTTACTGAAGGTTTATTACATATGAGGGTTATGTAAACACACATGAGGATGTCAAAACAAGTCTTAAAATTTACTACTGATAATCTGCAAATGTGATAAGCTGCTCTGCAAAGTCCTCTCTATATACAGAAACCTTAATAAAGTTCAACGATTGATTTTTCAAATATAGAGGGCAGAAATGAGCCTGCCAGCACAAACAGCTCTACAAATCTCAAAATCCCAGAAAGGAGCTTAACCTTTATATAAGATATCCAGGTGTCCCATGAGTCCTAAGCACTAACTACTTATACAAGCGGAATTTGGTCTTTGTCAATAATGACAGCACTGTTGGCTAAGTCACAGCTCCCACCCTCCTTTGAGCCTTAGGAAAATTTTAAGAGGTAAAAAGAGCAAAAAAAGGATAGAAAATCAAACTAAAATGGACAAGAAAAGCCCAGCTGGGTAGCTCAGTTGATTAGAGTGTCATCTCATACACTAAAAGGTTTTGGGTTCAATTCCCAATCAGGGCACATACCTAGGTTGCAGATTTGATTCCTGGTCGGGGTGTGTACAGGAGGCAACCAATCACTTTTTCTTTCTCATGTCAATGTTTCTCTCTCTTTCCCACCCTTCATCTCTCTCTAAAATCAATAAACATATTCTCAGGTGAGGATTAAATAAATGGTTAAGGAGAGAGAACCAAGATGGCAACATAGGTAAACACCTGTACTCGCTGCCTCCCACAACCACATCAAAATTACAATTGAAATACAGAACAACTACCACCCAGAACCACGGGAAAGCTGGCTGAGTGGACGTATTACAAGTGAAGTAAAGAAGAAAGCACATTGAGGCTGGTAGGAGGTGCAGAGGCACAGAACGGGCTGGTCCGGAACCCAGATGTGCCGCTTTTTTAATGGGGAGGGAGATCGCCTCGCGGAGGCAGTCCAGAGGAGTGAGGGGTCCCAGCCCCACACCAGACCCCCGCCCAGGGCTCCAGAGCTGGGGAAAGAAGTCCCTACAGGCAGTAAGAACTACAAGCTGTAAAAACCAGTGCAGATTGGGGCTCAGTGACACAGAGGCTGCTGGAAACCCAGCTGCTCCTCTTAAAAGGCCTGCACCATGAACTGAATTTACAAACTCCTGCTTCCTCTGAGCACCAGCACTAGGGCAAAGCTCTGAGGAACACAGACACACACAAGGAGGAACTAGATTGTCTGGCATCAGGGCAGGAACTCAGGGACAGCTTTCTCCTAGACAGAGATGCTCACAGGGATCACTGTTCCTGTGCTGGGACCTCCTCAGTCTCAGGGCTGACTGGCAGGCACTTCTGTTTGCTCCACCCTGGTGACTCCCTAAGACCCCACCTCCTC